AGGCGCAACTCGAGACTTAGAGCAAAGTAACCTGCTGGTGGTGTGCTGACCTCTGGATACAATTTAAATGCAGGCTCCGTATGCCTCGATGCTGGCATCGCAGAATCCATGGACCTCAACCTTCGATCCTGGTATTAATGATAGCCTGGGAAATGCACTACTAAGACCATTGCCAAAGTTGCTGCAAATGTCTAGCCATGCAGTGTGGCATGCAAACGGGAGACTCTCGTCCCAATCAAGTTTATGCCTCCAGAGTTGTTGCAAGAAAATTTTAGCCTTCGTTATTACTGGGCCGACCAGGCCGAGGGGATCATAAAATCGAGCAATAGACGAGAGAACAGAGCGCCTGGAGGGCTTAGAGGCTGAATTCAGGGCTAGATATGAAAAAAGAAGTTGGTCAGATGCCATATCCCATGCAAGGCCAAGTGTCTTTGTAATGTCGCTGCCATCATTGAACCTAATAAGCGATTCCTTGTCGCAGTCTGTTACGCCGTCCAGTACCATGGGATGGCTTGAACACCACTTCCTCAATTTAAACTTCCCACATGCCAAGACTCCAGCTGACTCTTGCGTAACAAGTCTTGCTTCTTCGACTGAATTTCCTCCACTAATCAAATCATCAACATAGAAATCGGGAAGCAGTACGTCGGACCCGACTGGGAATGCGTTCCTTTCATCTACGGCAAGCTGATGCATGGCGAGCACAGACAAAAATGACGCTGGTTTTGTTCCATATGTTACCGTATCAAGCCTGAAAACTTCCAACTCATCATCTGTCGAATTCCTCCATAAAATGCATTGTAGATAGCTGTCCGGCTCAGGTACCTTCACGCAACGATACATTTTGCAAATATCGCCGGTGAGTGCAACTGGATAAGATCGGAAGCGCAATAATATGTCGACTAATTTTGGCTGAATGACGGGACCTGACATTAGAATGTCATTCAACGAATGCCCAGTTGTTGTAGATGCAGATCCATCAAAGACGATGCGAAGCTTGGTGGTTGTGCTATCATCCTTCAGAACGCAGTAATGAGGAAGAAAATATCTGCATAGATGGAATGAATTTAGAGGAACGCGTGGCATGTGACCAAGTTCGAGATACTCTTTCAGAAATGCTGAGTATTGAGACTTTATATGCGGCAAACGACTCAATTTCTTCTCCAAATTGAGAAACCGATGTCGCGCTTGCTCATAAGAATCTCCAAGAAGCTCGCAACTAAGCTTAACAGGTAGGCGTACTGTATATTCGCCACTAGCCAATCGATTATAATGACTCGCAAAATGCGCTTCGCAGTCTAGGTCTTCCTTGCTGAACTTTACAATGGAATCGCTGCAGCGCTCAACTTCCCAAAAGCAACGAACGAGACTGTCCAACTTGATATCAGCACAGGAGTCTGTAATCGGATCCGAAGACGCCTTTGAAGCTATTAGCACGGAGTTGTGGTTGCGAGCCTCGCCACCTGATACAACCCAACCAAGGCGAGTCTTCTGTAACAATGGAAGTCCAGGCATCAACTTGATTTGTCCCACACAGAGCAAATCATAAAACAGGCTAGCTCCGATAAGCAGATCTACTCGTTGCGGCCTATGGAAAGCTGGATCTGCCAGCACTATATTTTGCGGTATGCTCCAATTGTTCGTATTCACATTAGAACTGGGCTGCCTGCCAGTTATATTTGTAGCTACCATAGTCAGATGCATGAGCTTGAAGAGTGAGGCAAATGCTGCTTCCATCCATGGCAACATTGGAGTCGCCTACGCCGCATACAGATGCAACCGATTTTGTTCTCTTAAGTTGCAGGAGATTCGCAATCTGGCTGTAATGAGATGTAGTTGAGAGCCTGAATCTAAAAGTGCACGACAAGGAACAAGTTCGCCAAACCAAACCAAACATAAGCCAGCCTTTCGGACCTCATTCAGGCGAAGAATAGGAGACAAGTTTGCGAATCTTGGGGATTTGTAGATTGTGTGCTCAAGATCATTACAAAAACTGCTTATCTGCAGGTAGCAATCTTACTGCAAGAATTCATCGGCTTACTTGACGAATAGTTTGTAAGAGCAAACTTCATCGATTTCAAAGTACGGCAACGAAGCTCAAGAAACGAGGAGACTTCTTCATATCTGGGTATCTGAAGAGCTATCTCTGTGTTGTCCAATTTATCTTCCCATTTAGCTTGTGAGGCCTCATCAAACTTCTGTACCAGTATCTGAGCAATCATGGCACTGGCTATCTGCTCTGTTGTGCCCAGACTACTGAGCGCACGCATATGGATATTGAAGCTGTCAGATAGCTCACGCAGCTTGGTTATGGATCCATTTTCTACTCTTTTGAGACCTAAGATCTTTACGATGTGGGCCTGGAAGATTAAACGTCGGTTATCATATCTCTGCTTCAATAAATTTATGGCAATTGTATAATTATCATTAGAAATTTCCAAAGAGCGAACCGTACCCAACACTACTTAAATATAAGCGCGCCTTTTCAATTAAAACCCAAAATCGTTCACACAATTCTAAGTTGTCGTAGGCACACGTCAATGCTCATGTCGCATGCATACACACATAAACATACACAAACATACGCACATACATATAAAGGCACTCAAATGCTTCTACAATGATTACCCCATCATTTGTGAGCATCGCGGCCCCTGCGTACACACAATCAAACATATGTATGTAAGTATGAGCAGTTCACAAGATCAACCAAATGCAAATGTAGGGCTTTAAAATTGCTACAGGCAGCAAGAGGCTCGCACACAGGCATACAAATGCTCATAGTACATGTAACAAGGGAGAGTGTGTGCGTGCACGCTCGTCGCGAAAGCATTTTCATTATGAGCACCAACGCTTTCATACCCTTCCCACGAATAATAACGAAAACGCAAATATTTTGTAGGAGCTTGGCAAACGGTTTGAAAAGTTCGGTATACTCTTCACCCAGAAGGGAAGGCATGCGTTCTTGCTGCGACGAAATTTCAATTTTCGTGAGCTGCTGCTTGAGCTCACAATGTGAGCCTCACATGCATACATACAATACACATTCGAGAGAGCAGAGAGCATCGAGAGAGAGAGAGAGAGAGCAAGGGAAATATTGAGCATAGAGGGATCTTTTGTTCAAAATTTGACCATCTCGGTCGAGCACATGAAGCGAAATGATTGTGCTTTCGTATTTTTTCGTAGCTCGAACCTAAAAGTAAGGAGCCGAGGGAGTCCAAAGCTGTCTGGGGTGTTAAAGCCTCAAAAAAAGTGTGCAAAAAGCTTTCCACTAGTTGTCTAGTCTATGTGTTCTCTGGTTAGTGGTGCAACTTCGCAAGTCGGCGGCTCTTTTTGGTAAGAAATACATTTATAAGAAGCAATTAAGTATAAAATAAGTATTTATTTGTAGGTAAATTTTCGTTGGTGTTGGTGACTGGACAGATTATCACGGAACGACGAGCTTGTCTTTCTTAATCATAACTCTTGGATCTTGGCAGAAGAATAAAAGCCATGCATTTAATTTTAATTTAATCTAAACTTTTTTTGTTATAGTCCATGAAGGATCTCATTATTGTTTATTAAAATTTTTATTTTTATTTTTAAATATGCATTTATTATTGGTTTTTTAACTTGAAAATATTTTCGATAGTACTATCGATGCTATTGAATAATTGTTGTAAAACCATCGAAACTATTGAATGTTGCAACCATCGATAGTTTTACAGCTCTAGCGTACTGTAGCATATTCTAAGAATCTCTCAATTGCGATTGATTTGTCTTTGCAATGTTTTTGAATTTCCAGCCGCTACACTGGCTTTTCTTTGCTATATGACGTCATAATAATAATGTGAATTCGTTTTAATTAATGTTGCTCGAAACGACGCGGTTGTGCTGTAGGCTGAAGCGCCGGCGATCTTTATCTTAGTTATTTTGACATGAACATGGGTGCGAGTTCAAATCCCGCGGAAAACACTGTTCTGTTATTTTAGCTTTTTTATATTTTATTAATTTTATAAAAATGTTTCCTTCCGTGCTATCAATGCCTATTAAGGCTATTTATGTGTACAAGTACATAAATAGATGGCTGACGCATATAAATGCCGCAATATGGGCACTATAAATGCCTATTGCCACGCCCCTAGTGGCCGTAGACTCATTTTTAGCCAGTTCTTAGAACGAGCAACCGGTAACCTAAATGCAAAATTTGAATTCTTACGCTCAAAAAATGTGAAAATTATTTCGATATGCCATTTTTGGGGCATCGATAGAGGAGGCTACCAGTAATTCAACTATCTAAATTTGAAGCTTCTAGCTCTTAAACTGTAGGATATAAACTTTTGCGGTTTGCCACGCCCCCTATGGGCGGACATATATCCGCCATAGCTCGTGATCTTGGGTGGTGACGCGGACCTACATACCAAATTTCAGCTTTCTAGCTCTTCAACTAACATGATTTCTGGTATATCGGTCGGACAGCTAGACGGATATTGCTCAAAACCAATATACTCATTTCACTCTCGTGAATGAGTTTAAAAACTACGAAGTAGCGTAGCATTTTCAAACGCTGGTAGTATCTAGTCGAGCACTCTCGAGTTCTCTTAATTGTTTTATTTCCCCGGTAGTTTCTGCAAAGATATTTTCATTTGAATACCATCTGAATTTAAATTTAAATTTTCAATACATTAAAATTTCACAGTAAATAGAGCCGTATAGCCAAAGCTCTAGTATTATTAGATCATTTTTGCAACTAATCCCTCGTACTTTTCGTTTGACCATATTGCCTTCCACAAGGCCGTATTCTGTAGTATGAGCATTCCCAATTGCACCGCATTGTCGGAGACTTTAGTAGTTTGCGCATATTGTAAAACTTCCAACCGTCGAGCTGTTATTTTCTGCACTGGACTGAAGTATAACAATTGGCGACGCTCCAGGTACTTGAAGGGCTGCCTTGGTTTTGACAAGATGTTCAAGAATTGTCACAGAACAGATGTTACTCCCGCCCATAAAAATAATTTCCAAATTATTTATGTATTTATTTTGATCGGCCCGATATATTAATGCGCAAAATACAATACATATAGAAAGGGACAGCTCCTGCAGATCCCTAGATTAGCAACAACATGTAGCATTGCCTCAAATGCTATTGGCTCGAATGGCAAATGGCATATCATTGTAACCCAAACTCATTTTAGTACATTTAAACACTTGTAGATAACGGCTATAATGAATTATCGAATAAGCACGTAGGTATTAGGGGAATTATTGAAGAATGTTACAGAAAACCATAATGCACACGTGCCAGGTACATATTAAAACAAACCGGGTCTAGTGTTGAAAAAGAAATAATTTTTGTGTATATTAACCATTGATTTTATTAGTAAATATATTTGTATTCGAAAAAACTAAATTTTTGATACTTGTATTTAAGTACGGACGACTAACCCATTCAGTATCAACAGCTTTAATATTTTCTAGTGTTCCAAGCTTAATCTGATACAACTTTAATTGAAATCTGGGTCCAACTTCCGTTAATTCAATTTCATTATTTACATATTTATATTGATGGTGTCTAAATGAAATTTTATCTTCATTGTTAATAAATGAAATAATCCTTTCAGATTTGTCTTTTGGTACCGGGAACAAATGTTTTAAAATTTGTACAGTTCTTAAACCAATATTGCTTTTAAAATTACTGAAAATTAAATGCGGTTTCTGTTCACTCATAGGTCCAAGGTTAGGGATATCATGACGCATTGTAACGTCGGTTATATTAAAGAAAGCTGTTGGTCCGAATGGCAAATGACATATCACAAGACTATCGGGAATGCCCCGATGCTCATGCACTAGTATAAAGTCTGTAACATTATTAGCTCGACATGCATGCATTAATGTTTTTAGTTGATATTTTCCTCTGTTCATTTGTTGGGCATTAGGAAATATTAGTCTAAGTTCTTTCATAAACATTTTCAGGCGTGAAGACGGCTCATGGGATGTAGTTAACATAATCTTCGGATCCTGACAGCCAGCATATTTGTATTCATCAATAGTAGATATGTTTTGATTTTCCACATCTAAAAAACGAAACGAATTATATAAAAATGTATTAGGATTTTAAGAAAAGTAATTACTTATGAAACAAGTTTCAAAAAATGTTGCTGCTTACTTAATAATTATTTTATGAACCAGAGCAAACGAAACAATAAGGCTCTAGTCGACTGATTCCTATGAAGGCCTGATCTTTCAGTGGTTATTTGCTTCTTTTCTGCTTAGACAAGAAACAGCACATGCCAATGCACAAAGCCAAACAAAGGCTCGCACGTATGTGCGTATTTTATAGAATTTCGATTTTTCTTAAAATTTACCCCCCACCCCTATATCCACCCCCATCACCCATTTGTAAAACATGTAATTCAAATACTAGAAGCTTGTGCTTTGGCACATGCCCGCATTTCATTGTTGTATTCACGATCTAAAAGTTTCATGAAGATAGTCAATCGACAAGAAACGTTATTAAACAATTAAATTCCTCCCACGATGCAGTCCACGCGAGATTAAGCGTGCATGCATATGTGTTTCTTCTCTTTTTTGCCACGCCCCCAATGGGCGTCGATATATCTACCATAGTTTGTTGGTCTTGGGTGGTCAATACGAATCTACATATGGACATACCAAATTTCAGCTTCAACTAATATGATTTCTGACATATCGAGATTCAAAATTCTTACAGGCAGCAAGAGCTCATACATGAAGCATACATGTCGAAAAATCATTTTCTTTATGCATACCAACGCTTTCATATCCTAACAAGTAAGAAAGCTCTTTTCGAGACTGCTCGACTTCGAGGTCCCCTGAACCCTTCGAATAATAGCTGTTTCAATCATTTTTCGCGACTTTCTGCTTACACAAGAAACACGCACACACACACTTGCATACTCACACACATGCACACACACACTCGCATACAGCGAGTTCGAGTTTCGTTTTCGTGGCGTGCGGTCGATGTTATTGTGATCCATCGTTGACTATAGCTTGTTCCGAGTTTTTCCCTGCGAAAGTGGAAATATCTAAAGAAAACGTGTATGCTGAGTGCCAGGCACCCAACTCTCTAAAAGAAGCGTTAGCCCAAATAGGAGTTACGCTAGAGGGCTTGACTGCCTTATTTGGGGGTCAGCGGCATATTAATGCCCTAATGAGAGAGGAGCTGGCTAGGCTGGTCAATCTCCAGAAGACGGCCGAAAAGCTCTGCAACCGACCGGTTAAAAACTGCGAGGTGCAGACCATGCCGCTCCAGAAAGTAATGGAGAAAGCGAGCACTAGTGTGATCACAGGTAGCAATACGCCCAAGCGGTCGAGAGAAGTTTCCACCGATCAGAGGAAAACACCCTCAAAAAAGCCGAGGCCCAATAAAGACGCAGCCAACCCAAAAGAACTAATGGCTCTACGGGCTACAGCTGAAAGTTCAAATCAGGCAGGTCGACAGACAAACCCGAACAGCTGGACAGTCGTTAAAGGACGCAAGCCCATGCAAAAACGACCCAGAAGTGACGCAATCGCGATTTCAGGCGTGGGTGGTTGCAGCTATGCGGACATGCTTCGTGTAGTCAAGACCGACCCAAATCTAAAGCATCTGAGCGGCGACGTTCAAGGCATTAGGAAGACAGCTAAGGGGGACCTTTTGTTGCAACTAATCAGAAAGCCGGAGCATAGTGCTGAGGCCCTTCACGAAGCCTTGGGTGACCGAGCGGTAGTTAAAACACTTACCGAATCGGCTCAAATTGAGATTCGTGACCTAGATGAGTTAGCGAGCAAAGAGGAGATCTTGGAGTCAATTAGGGCGGAGTTAAAGGATAGCTCACTCCCCATTGAGGTTATCAAGTCGCATCGATCGGCTTTTGGTGGACAGCAAAGAGCTACAGTTGCTCTTCCAATTGGAAAATCCAAAACACTGCTCGAGCTGTCCAAAATCAGAATTGGATGGGTTGTATGCCGTATCCGCGCCTAAACGCTGTTTCAAGTGCCTTGATTACGGTCATATGGCAGCAAACTGCGGCAGCGACTGTGACCTAAAGGGCGCCTGTTTCAGGTGTGGAGAGATGGGTCACAGTGCAAAAGCATGCACGAAGCCACCAAAATTTAGCCTCTGCATCCGGAATGGTGAAAAGCAGACGGACCACTCAGCAGGCATCTTCAAGTGCCCATCGTACCGCGAGCCTGCTCGTAAAATGAAATGTTAAGGTTCCTTCAGCTTAACTTAAATCATTGTGTTGCTGCCCAAGATCTTCTAGAGCAGACCATAAGGGAAAAATGTATAGACGTAGCATTTCTCAGCGAGCCTCACCACTGTAGAACCAGCTGCCCTTGGACATGGGCAAGAGATGCTAATGGCAAAGCGGTCTTGTGGGTATGTGGCAACACAACGAATGTCCTTTCGAATGTTGTCATTTAATGGGTTCGTACGTGGCCAACACGGTAGCCTATGGCTCTACAGCTGCTACCTGGCCCCCAGCATGCAACTCACTGATTTCACAACGGTGCTTGAAGAGCTTGTCGAGGATGCTAGGGGTCGGAAGGCCATTATAGCAGGAGATTTTAACTCATGGGCGTTAGAATGGGGTAGCCACACAACAAATATCAGAGATGCACTGCTCAACACTGGTTACGAGTTCACCTTCAGTCGGGCTGGATACGGATCTGTAATTGACATTACTTTTGTCACTTCATCCCTCGTGCGGGAAACAACATGGAGCCATTGCGGTAGCTATACGGGCTGCAATCATACGGCACTTCTGTTCACAATAGGTGAGCCACCTGCCAGGGCGTCAACCTTGTGGAGGGAGTCGTATCGGCTGGATACTTTTGATCCCGCGGTCTTTTCAGAGGCCATTCAGTCTCTGGGCACAATTGGTAATGCTGAGGCCAGAGCATGCCAAATGCTGGCCCAAATACAGAGTGCCTGCAATGTGAGCATGTTACGCCGCAAGCAGTTCACGCGACAACAAGAGCCTACGTATTGGTGGAATGCACAAATAGGTGACATTCGACGCAAATGCATCCAGGCGAGAAGAAGGCCATTCGGGCCATTCTAGAATGCTTTCTAGAGTTGTGCGACTCAGCCGAATATGACCCTTGGGGCAGGGCATATAAGATAGTAGTTAAAAGACTATACTCAGGTAGACAGGTGCAGCCTACGGATCGCTTGGAGCTTAAATCAATTGTGGAAACGCTCTTTCCAGAACGATTAAGCTCCATTCATTCTCAACGAGCACTCAAATTGTTTTAGACGAAGAAATCTTAGTAGCTCTCAAAGGTCTTAGAACCAACACAGCACCAGGGCCGGACGGGATCCCAAATCGTGCGCTAAAGGTAGCCCTCGCCTTGCACCCTAGTACGTTCGCCGAATTATTCAACGAATGCTTACTACAAGAGACGTTCCCTACAAAATGGTAGACCCAGAACCTGGTATTGCTACCCAAGGCTGGCAAACCACCTGACGAGCCATCTTCATACAGACTGATCTGCCTCTTAGACACCATAGGAAAGGTGTTTGAAAAATTTATCTGCTCTAGACTGGAGACTGCTATTGCTAGCGCCGGAGGCCTATCACCAAATCAATTTGGATTCCGGAAGGCCCGGTCAACAACGGATGCTCTAGAACAAGTTGTTGGCCTGGCAACTTCCGCCATCCAAGGCACCAGATGGAGGCACGGGACGAAGCAATACTGCATCATCGCGACCCTGGACGTTAAGAACGCCTTCAACACAGCTAGTTGGGATATGATACTGAATGCGCTGTCACAATATAATATCCCTAAATATCTAAAAGAGATAAAAAAAAACTACTTCAGAGGAAGAACACTGGTATACAACACGAGTGAGGGTCCCCAAACTCATACAATATCAGCTGGAGTACCCCAAGGCTTACTGCTGGGGCCTCTCCTATGGAATATAATGTACGACGGCGTACTGCGCTTGGAAGTACCAGCAGGTGCGCACACAATTGGCTTTGCTGATGATGTGGCTGTCGTCGCCATAGGCAAGGATCTTAAAGATACAGAGGATATGTGCAGCGAAAGTATCAATCGCATACGAAGCTGGTTGACAGGAGCTGGGCTCGAGCTTGCGGCGCACAAGACGGAAGTCGTCCTAGTAAGAAGTCGCAAGAAAATGGAGACTGCCAATATAAGGATAGGCAGCGTCAGCATCGCGTCAAAGAGGGCGATTAAGTATCTTGGCGTCATGTTATACACAAGATTAACTTTCCGCGAGCACTTAGAATATGTGCATAAAAAGGCAGCTGATTTTTGTAGAGCTCTCTCAAGAATTATGCTTAACACGCGGGGACCTAAACAGCAACGTCGTCTTCTTCTAATGAGCATCATTAGGTCTGTCATCCTCTATGCTACGCCAATATGGTCAAGAGCGATGGCAATGCCGAGCTTCAGCCGGGACATTTGCGCGATCTACAGGCTGAGCGCAATCAGCGCAATCAGTCAGCTGCGCTTTCAGGACTATCTCCGATGATGCGGCGCTCGTCATAGCCGGCATGGTGCCACTGGAGTACCTGTTCGCCGAAGCCGTGTGCGACACAACGCTATTAGGGCGAACAGCATTGCACGATGGCAAAGGAAGTGGAATAGCTCAGCTAAAGGGCGGTGGACGCACAAGCTCATCCCGGTGCTCGAAGCATGGGTTAACCGCAAATACGGCGAGGGTAACTTATATCTTTCGCAGATCCTCTCGGGCCATGGATGCTTTCGGAGCTATTTGAAGTGCTTTGGTCACGAGGAAACTGACGAGTGCCCCTGGTGCGGGCGAGGGCATGTGGAAGACGCCAACCACATCCTTTTCGTATGTGGGCGGTTTCTGGAGGAGAGGCGTCGTCTAGAAGAGGCACTGGGCCGCTCCATCAGAGCGGACAACATAGTCAACGCCATTCTGGAAGCGGAGGAAGCTTGGGAACTAACAAGCACCTTCGCGGCCACACTGATGAAGGAGCTGCGCAGAGTCGAGCGAATGAGAAGTCGAGCTGTACCAGGCTAAGGTAGCGCATAGTGCTTGCGAAGCAATGCTT